TTTCAGGTGAACGACAGCCGCTGAACAACAAGTACAAACCGACCCGGGAATCTTTGGGTGATAGCCTCGATCGTGTGCAGCGTTTCGTCAATACGTGAAGTCCGTTCATTTTGATACATCAGAAGGCGAGGTGGCTCGAGACAGCTCCCCACTTGGAATGTTTTTCAACCGTATTTACGGGGTGACTACGGAAGATTCTACTAAATCATCCTGGAAATTTCACAGCTGAAGCAGTCGTTTCCCGTTGTCCACTCCATTTCGACCTCCCAAACGGGCCTCAGATGACCTAAGCATGTCCACTTATGTATCCAGATCTCCGGCAATCTGAACGGGATCTGAGCTTCTAGATGAGACACGTGCCCATGAAAGCTCAATTTTGATTAGCGCATATTCTGACCAACCACAGCGTAGGATTGTTTGGGCCAGGCGCACGCGTTACACGTACACGGAAATCTTTTGACTGGGGCTCACCGCTGTAGTATACGTTTTCCGTCAGTTTGATTGATTCATATGTAAGTATTGGTGATGTACAACCTTGCTTACTGGGCTCTGGCTCATGAGCTTTGTTTCTGTTTTCCATCCACAGAACTTGTCGTGAACACCTGCCTTCGGAGAATCACTGTCCCCTGGTGCTTCCGTAGCGTGCATATTACACCGCCCACGGTAACGTTAGTATATGTCCTCAGTGACTGGGGCAGAAATGTTACAGCTTGATGCGCTGTCGTTCATAGGGCACAGGTGGCCTAATCTAACGGGAAGACGCTTGGAAAACTAAGCGTCTTGGAGACTAGCATGTGACGCTAGTCGAAATCGACAATGAAGTTGAGCGAGAACAGAGGGGGTGGATATCTCTGTTGAGCACCAATTTTTATAGGGAAGTTTGCGCAGCCTAACGCACACACGTCCAGAAGTAGAAACTTCCAACTTTCTCAAAATCGCTTTGGGAAGCCTGCCGAGTCTCCGAACCAGAAAAGTCAGCGGTTAATTGGACGTTCAAGCAGAAAATCAGCGTCCACTGTCAATACTCAGGCGTTCCAACTTGCTCTAGAAAAGATACCAATAAACTACTGAACCTCAACCTGACAGTCTTGATTGAAAGTCAAAAATGCGCTTTAACTACTGCAACATATCCGCCATACAACTACAACCCCCAACGCGTCGCCACGCACCACCACGGCGTTTCGAAGACCGTTCGCCCATTATCCCGTTAATCATGAAATTAAATAAGAATAGAAAATTAGCCCCCGTGTCGGACCGCTTTGTGCACCGAAACTTTCCACATACCTTCACACCTCCAGAAGTCTGAAAATACAAGGAACTTATTATGTTCACAGGCCAGGTTGAATGGATTAACTGAAATAATCTTCGGGCGTTTCCGGACTCGTCCGTTTAATTAGCTTTCCGTCTCCACCAAACCTCACCATCGCGCGCACACTCGCTTGACGTCCGATGATTCGGGTCAATTTATATTCGCAACCTGAAGGGATAATCGTTCGAGTTTCAAGAAGTGTCACTGCTCGGTTTGATATCTAGAGCTTGAGTGGGCGTGGTATCTCCATGCCACAGGCGAAACTCCCAGAAATGCCAAAAGCTGTGGAGATCTCGTCCCAGTGTGAATTCATATCTGACGGAGTATTTGCAAGGGACTCTAAAAGACGATTCTGATACGTTAGTCAAACACCCGGACCCATCAGTCTTTCAGCTATCAAGTCACTTGTTCGCATCTTAAGCGGCCCTGCAAAGCTCAGGGAGAAGCGACTCCGGACGAGTATGTGGTTCGGATCCACAGATGTGCCCCGAAGCGGCCAGCAGTCAGTTATTAATTAGCGCCATTGGTAACTGATGGCAGTGTGGTCGGTTTTAGTTTGTGGCCGGCGTGCCTTTGGAGGACACCATGCGGCCAGACGACTTCGGCTATTTCGGAGGTTAGTACTGCATAAGACCACCTGCAATCAGCACACAGCTGAAGCAGTCGTTTCCCGTTGTCCACTCCATTTCGACCTCCCAAACGGGCCTCAGATGACCTAAGCATGTCCACTTATGTATCCAGATCTCCGGCAATCTGAACGGGATCTGAGCTTCTAGCTCTCCGTAGTCATTCATTCATGGCGTCATAAAACTTGTCTTTGATAGTTTCAGTTGGGTATAAACAGACACGACAGGAGACATCTATCAACTCGCTGGTGTGCCTCTTGCACACAGGGGTGACTATCAGCGGGTGTTAAGTCAAGCAAGAATCCTTCCATCCGGTAACTTAGGACGATAGCAACTCCTGCCTATCATGCCGCAGCAACCTCTGGATCCTCAGAGGTGCACAGCCGGAAGCTGTTCGGAGGTTAGTACTGCATAAGACCACCTGTGATCATCACACAGCTGAAGCAGTCATTTCCCGTTGTCCACTCCATTTCGATCTCCCAAATGAGCCTCAGATGAGCTAAGCCTGTCCACTTATGTATCTAGATCGCCGGCAACCTGAACGGCATCTGAGCTTTTAGCTCGCCGTAACAGGGCATTCATGGCGTCATTAAACTTGCCTTTGATAGTTTCAGTTGGGTGTAAACAGACACGACAGTGTGTGCCTCTTGCACACAGGGGTGACTATCAGCGGGTGTTAAGTCAAGCAAGAATCCTTCCATCCGGTAACTTAGGACGATAGCAACTCCTGCCTATCATGCCGCAGCAACCTCTGGATCCTCAGAGGTGCACAGCCGGAAGCTGTTGGAGAGTGACGGGGCGGTTGGCTCAATCACTGTGCTTGCGTCGCTGTTAGGACCAAGTGAACAGTGGACTTCATCAGGAGCCCTAGTCTCGGTGGATGCCATGGCTTCCATACCAGCAGGCAACCAATACGACGGCGCACGCAGCTCACGTAAACGCCCAATAATGAAGAGCCTACGGAAAGGCTAGGAGCTCGGTGGCTTTTTTCGCCGAAAACAGGCGTGCCTACACCTGTCGTCTGCATATTCCAGATCGATAAGGTTTTGATGACTCATTAGTTTCCTCACAAAAGCGCCGACTGGAAGAATAAGCCAAGCATTTCGAATAACAGCTTAACTGTCCTCCTCTAACGTACCCCAGAACACAGCACATCCGGGCAAGTGAAATGTAAAATTTGTCCATCGGAAGGAATAATATTCAAAACCCCTCTTTGAAACTTAAGAAGGACGGTTTGTATCCGGCCCTCTTCAAAGAGGGCGGGTAACTCACCTTAGAAAACTTATTGGTGGATGGCCCAGTGGTTACAGCGCGAAGGTACGTGGCTCGAACCCAACCTCCGCCTCTCTACTTCCTCTGTCTAGGCTTGGGCAACCTGGCAGTATCCCAACCGTCGTGCTTCCTTTGGGTTGCATAGCAGCTATGCATCAAAAGGATATTGCAGCTGAATCACATAGAGCGAGTAGAAAATGTCCGTAGAACATGGCATTTCGACGGTTCCCTGCTTTCAAAAAAGATACGCGCAGCTGTACCAGTTTGCCTGAACCTACAGAGGCGGATTCGTGAAAACCAACCTGGGTCGCTTTCTGCATGGGCACCCCAGAAAAGGGCAGGCAGACATGGTCCAATCTCACTTTCAATGGGGCGCATTCAGCCAAGCTCTTTTCTTTGGAACATTTCCACGCTTAGATTCATGCTTCGGCGATACCAGCTGCTTCCCCCATTCGAAATTATCGGGCGAATGAAACCATTGTACTACGAGCACGCTGTCTACAGCCCAAGATGATGATGATGATATGGCAGTGAGATTCATACGAAATGAAAGACGTTTTGGCTGGGACGGCCTGTTGCGTTTGTTTCTATCAGGCAAAGAAATAGAGGCAAAACTCCCGTCGGAACGCAGATGAATATCAAGTGGACGAGTTTGAAGAACACAGTACCGGATGAAAATATGCTTGTGCGCGGAGTGGAATGGCAGCACGCGAATGCACTGAATGCTGTTAACCCGTCTGGTGCTGGGAATTGTTCTGACGCACAATGATGTTGATGTCCAGGTTCACCTAACAATATCACGTCATGGCTTCACAACTGTGAATAAGTTACTCCAGAAGGCTTCTGAGTTCGAATAACGGTAATTTGCGGTTAACAGCAGTGTCTGTGTATGGCATCAACATCAGCAACTGCATGAACCGCGTATGTGTCCTACAAAGGTTGTAAGTGCCACAATTTCGTCAATTGAGGATTTGGGGAACTGGGGCAGGTAGCTGCGCGTTGGAGGCGGGAACTGATAAATTGGTGCGTAAGTACAGGTATGTCAATGGAGGGGTCGGGAAGTGAAAACAAATTGGCTACCGGCCTGATAATTTACCAGGCGCAGTTCATAAAACAGCACTTTTATGCCGCGCAGACGTTATTCCAGATATTTTCATTCAGATAGTAACATAAAAAGGTTATGGGGTGGACCTGTTTTTAGCTTCCCCTGCCTCATAGACAGGCAACTAGCAGACAATAATGAGACTTTTCTGTTGACATAAGATGCCAGTCTTCGTTACAGCCGCACTTTTTATGATTCTCGACAGGCATGTCGTTGAAAGCCATCGTGTGCTGAGATGTGACAGTCAGGAACACCAGAGTGGATTCGTACCACATGCTCTCCGAAGAATTCGGTAGCAACACAGCTACTTGTTCGTCTAGGTTCCAAACTGAACCAATCATCTGAAGTGCACTTTGTATCCCCCCTTTTTAATGATCGATTGGAAGTCTGTAATAACCATAATCAAGACGTACATACCACATGAATGCCTCTTCTCTTCTGTTTTCACAGCACTGTGACCCCGTCTGGGAAACCGGGGTGATTTTTTCTTTAGCCGAATGGCTGATTGACGGAAGCTCTCCGAAGAATTCGGTAGCAACACAGCTACTTGTTCGTCTAGGTTCCAAACTGAACCAATCATCTGAAGTGCACTTTGTATCCCCCCTTTTTAATGATCGATTGGAAGTCTGTAATAACCATAATCAAGACGTACATACCACATGAATGCCTCTTCTCTTCTGTTTTCACAGCACTGTGACCCCGTCTGGGAAACCGGGGTGATTTTTTCTTTAGCCGAATGGCTGATCGATTGACGGAACTGCAGGACGCAATTAACTTGCAGGCAGAAAACTTGTGCAACGCAATCGGAGTTATTCAACAGGTAGCCCAACCGAGCTTTTTCTCCGACTTTAATTGGAGTTCGCGTGCATCCAAGCCAGAGTATCAAGCTTTTCTCCAGGGTCAACCCCCAGACGGTGAGTTAGCTTTATCATTCCAGGTTCGCGTTTTTTGGAATTCCTCTTCTCAGTTTGTCTTCAATAGATAGGACCTCTATACAGTTCGCTAAAAACATATCTGTTGTACATGGGATTATACACACGGGGACGAGTTGTATGCTCGTGATAGGTTGTTGTAAATAGTATATTGGTGTGCCTGGTGCAGTGTCCGGAAAGCCCAGTTTTAAGGTCTCTGCCAAACTCGTGTAATAACCCATTTAGGGCAGCAACAGCCCTGTCGGGTCCGCTTCCGGATCACAGTTTGCGCTACAGCTTACTGTGTGCCTGGTGCAGTGTCCGGAAAGCCCATTTTTAAAGTTTCTGCCAAACTCGCGTAATAACCCATTTTCGGGCAGCAACAGCCCTGTTGGGTTCGCTTCCGCATCACAGTTTGCGCTACACCTTACATGTCATGCTGTCGATGATGATGATGACATATAAGTACTTACAACAGACGTGTTATAACACTTTCTGCAATGCCCACTCTACGGAAGCAACCCTTTATCGCAGGCACATTCAGTTGTCGTTGTACGGATTTTTCGGTAAAGTAGTTTGTGGAGACCACAGCGCACTTTTGTGGTATGTACTCGGCAACCGCTCTATTGCTTATTTCGGATTGTTTCAGAGAACTTTTGGAAAAGCTGGGTTTTCCAGTGGAGCCCTAAGATGAGTGACCAGGTCTGATTTATGCAAGTTCGTTTCAGATTCACAGCATAGATCAGCGTTAAGAGTATGAGGTCTAGGCAGGCATTGCCTGTTTGCCTGGTTGACAGAGATTACGGACATAGACGGGCCCCACGTAAAAGGACCTCATGGATTTATCAAAATGTTTTTCTTCATTTCGTTGCCACAAATAAGAGACGTTGGGCAGATAAATGGCAATCGGATGATCCAACCACGGACTGGGGAGGAACATCAGTGAAAAACGGCTCTGTGGGGAACCGTGCGGTTACACAAGCCGGATAATGGAGTAATATTGGGGGACCTGAATTGAAGTCGATGGACCAACCCTGGCTACAGCCAACTCCTCACGGCGGAAGAATTAAGTCACAGGTGTCTCACTCCTGACACTTCCGCGCCCAACGGGCTGTTGGTAGATTTTTCCTGCACTCCGACCTCAGCCTTCAAAGAAGGTAGAAGAACGCTATTGTAGCATCGCCCTGATAGCCGTCACACCCAAGATGCTCTGTGACATTATTTTGCGCAGGTTGATCGATTGTCGGCAGAGATAAACTTGGGAGGATCAAGTTGGATTTCGTCCTGGACGAGAATGCACCAAACATGCCTTTACCTGGAGATAAGCTCTTGAACAGCGCCGCTTTTTCCAACATCCCACGTTGATTGTTCTTTTTGACCTCAAGACTGTTTTGGGCTTCTTGATTGTCAGAAACTTTGGCGGCGTTTGGCGATTATAGGTGTCCCTTCTAAATTTATATCCCTTACGAACTGACTGTACGGGACCTTCTGTGGGCACGTTCAAGTATACAGCATGCTTTTGCCTGAATTTGCCACGTCGATTGATGAATACAAGGCTTCCCTCCTTTGTCGCTCCCCTTCAGTTCTGTTATTGACGTGCCGCTTGGAACTTCTCTGTCTGGTTCTTAAACCCCGGTGGATAGGAGTGCTCCTGGGGCGTCCGCCCACACACTTTAGAGCGCTATCGCTGTCCTCGGTTCAGGTTCTTTAATGATGCAATTAGTTTCTAAACCAAGCCCAAATAATTCTGCCACTTGGATTGGTTTGTGCTTCTCACCTACAAACTATGAAATACCGCTACAAGGCGGTGGGATCAAATCGTGCTTTCGACGTAGTGGATAAATTTGTTCACTTGGACAGTTGTGTGGTTTCTGATGGACTTGGAGACGAAATCAATTCTTGAATCTGGAAGGCCGGGCAGGTTTTACTAACCCGCACCACCTATGGCGACGACGTAACGTCTGTCAAGGTAAGTGTATACACTGGACTGGTGCCATTCATACTGCTTCGTGGATCAGAGGCGTGATCTCTTCGTACAGAGGATGTAAGAAAGCTGTCGATGTTTGGACGTTTGTTGGATCTTGTTGGAAAAAGGGGTTGGTAATGCTGGGGTTTGCCGGGTGATGTTATGAAAAATGGTGAGCTATGGGCGATTGATGAGCTTCATAGCTTAGGCTGATTAGAGCATGTATTTCGCTTGGCGGAGGACCTCATAGAACTTGTTTGCCGAGCCTTGTGTTGAGTGGCAGCGATAAACGAGTGGGTAATCCATGGCCTGGCAACGAAGGATGAAGACTAACACGTGTACTCAGTGGGGTTGACAACTGCCGCATCCCTGGAAGGGGACCCCGGTGTTCAGCTCATCATTGGTTAATGACACCAGCTGACGGAACATTTCAGTGCCAAGTCAGCCCGACGTTTTTAGACATCTGTTTCTCACCGCTTGCCGATTAGTACAGATGCAAGCACCAATATGACCTTTGTCATACCGGTATGGAAGATATTGCCGACGTATCGGGTTTTTAGTTTAATGCATTAGCCCCAAATGATGCGATTTCCGATAAGCTTCGATAACCTTCAAAGGAGTACAAACAAGTCACCAAAAGTTGTAGCAACTTGCTTTGCGAATGTGTGCTAGCTTTCTTTCTTTAATTCTGTCTTGTTTACGGTTGTTCTACTAAACTGTGCAGGTTGAAGTTTGTTAAGTTCCTATTTTGATGAGCTGTTTTCGGCTGATATGTTTCGGATCTCGTCTGCAGTACACGACCCCAAATCCTGATTTGCATTTGATTTCAGAATCTTTATCAAACAAGACCTCTGTCACAACGAACAAGCTGCCTAGCTTCATGTTCCCTTCATCCTGAACCACGCCGCACACACCAACAGGGCTGTTCCATCTGGTAGCAAAAGACTGACTCGTAGGCCATATCGTTTGTTCGTTAGCCGCATAATGCATATCAGTATATGCATTGCATATATTAATGGTTATGTAATGACCGATCACCTGTTCTCTCGACTGGGTTCGGTTTGAACCCTTTTGTTGTCGAAAAATAGGAACATGTAGCCTGTTTCTGTCGATAACGAATATAAATAAAAAGTGGGTCTCTAGCCGGCTTTGAGACCAATGAAGCAGATTTCAGTGTTTATCTGCTAGTTCGCGCTGTCTTCAGCTGTTTCTGACGTACCAAGTAGCATGTAGCTAAACTGGTGGGTTTAGTAACCCCAACAAGACCATGTGTCTGCACCTGGAATATTCATGATTCCTCACCGCATGTTAGTCTATCTTTTCATGTTGTATTTCGCCGATCGTTGACACGCTTGTTTTGCTGTCTTCCTATTTTTGATTTTTTTCGCACTTACCCTTAGATATCGGCCGTAACTTTGCTGTTGTCATCGCAGCCACAGCTCGTCAACTGGACGCCTTGATTGGCTCTCTTCCGGAAGAAGAGGCCAGTTCCGAGATCCAGCGTGCTGCATTCCAACGTTTGGTGGAAGATTATCGCACAGAGGGCTGGAAACTTACCCGAGTAACTGAACGTCTCGAATCTCGACTGACGGAGGTGCGCCTATTCCTCACTGCCATAGCTCAAACACAGTTGACCACGCAATCTCTGGAAACTGAGGTAGATGCATACTTTAGTCTCTTTTCGTTTTCATATTTTTTGCGTAGGAGGGACGAAGATGCGTACCTGCCGTTCAGTACCAATGAACTACATACTGAAAGTTTCACGTAGATAGATCGCACTCTTCCGCCAAACCAATGGTCACCCTTCCTGTTACTTATATCTAATACACAGTAAAGAACTTGTGTGCCGCTGTGAGTCGCAGAACTGAAACATGGACATCCGCGTGTAGGAACGGGAACTGTTTTCAAAAATTTTCACTCTAACGCATTGCATGGGTTATGTGGCAGCAGCTAGTTGATATTGAATTTGTCTCAGACTGCGTACTTGGTGGTGGATAGGTTCCTTCAGACGAACTACTGGAGCCGCTCATAGTAGGACGTTGAAGGCGTATACTTGTTTATCATCTCTCTTAGCCAATGTCCTGAGTTCGTGGCCCTACTGAATTAAGTGGACGCATGGTAAGGTGGTGACGCGAAATTAGAGCGATCATGCTCAAACAGCGATATGGTCTTACTCTCTCTAACACGACACAACACGCAAGAAATCCTACTAATGCTCATGTTGTCACTCTGTTTTGGAGTTGCCGAGCTTTCTCTGAGTGACTTTCAACCACAACTGTTTTAATGAACGGGCCATAGTCGTCCTCTATGTCATCACAGTGTTTTTGGACCTAGTCTGAACGTTCTTTGTTACTTTCCATTCCTTGCCATGGCACCTCTTCATGATTATTTCGTAATCAAGCATCGATCTTTATTCACTAATGTACTACTATCGGTGAGTATGGTATCTGCTATGAGTTATGTCCGTCAGATTCCTAATTTACTGACCCGTAAACCGTTATCCGACCCCCTAAGATTCAAATCAGTTTTGGATCGCGGCTTATACCGTAGAATGTCGTGTTTTGATCACGTGTTGTACTACTTCAGTTCGCCTTTCGGATGGTGCAACATGACTGTGACGTGCAGTTAGTAAGTAAGTATGCACTCGATGAATCAAGAAAATAAAAATCACTCAGCTGTAGTCCCCTGGCTGGTGCCTAGCTGCCATGCCACACGAAGGAGGCACGAGGGCTGGGATACTGCCAGGTTGCCCAAGTCTAGAGAGGGGAAGTCGAGAGGTTGAGGTCGGGTTTGAACCACGGACCTTCCGGTCAGTAAATTCGCGCTCTAACCACTTGGTCATCTCGCCCCTATGCACTCGATGACGGTGCATTCGGTTAAGCTATCCACTCGTTTTAAAGCGATTTGAGGGCATTCTCGCTTCATTCTACCATTCCGGTCGATACACTCATACGGTTGGTAGCTGTCTGTAGTACAGTGGTCGACCTACACTGCGACATGAAATATAGTACGATCATCAGGTCTCATTTACCGGGGTTCGTAATTCCTCGCCACGTTGAGTCAGTTGCTAACGAAGTCCATATTAGTTCTTTTGAGTCTCATCTAATTAGTTTTTGTGTATCATCCTGATAGCCAACGTTCCACGTGCTTTCTAATTAGTGTGCTTGAAAGCAGTGTGTATACACCGACGTCATCCCACTCCATCTCGTGAATGGATGACAGAAAGTGATGTTCCTCATGCAGTGCTCCGTTCTAAAATCAAAGCCCAGCACGACGTTGTAGTCATATTTTTCGTGCACTAAGGAAGAACTCTGCGCCCACGTTGGAGAGCGAACGATTTTGACACTTTTCACTGTTGGAACCACCGCATTTTCCCAACAAACCAATGCCACTCTTGACACAGATTGTTTGGCCATAGCGAGAAAAACGAATTTCCTCTGATTACGGTTTCTTATGCTATATATCCCTCTGTGTACATACCTACCCGAACGGGCGAATGTCAGGCAGCAAATTAATTTATCTGAAGATAGCGTGCTGTGGTTGATACCTTTCGTCCGACCTACTCAGCAATAACCAGCCTGCTGTGTTTACACTATAGCTCTACTGTTTCACAATCCTAGTAGACTTGACAGCAAACCCAAGTCTCTCAATTAGTTTTTCTTGACAACGATCACTGAATATCCACGCCTGACACGGTCTTGTCAAGTCGCGCCAATCTGATATTTTCGGGAAGCGATTGGAATGTAGATTGAACCCTGGTTCTATCTCGGATGACCCAGGAACGACCTCCAAAATTGTGCTGAAATGTGGCTTCTTGCCAGCTGCAGCACCCTTTCGGTGCCTGACCGCTATGCCACCGGATGAAACACGAGGGCCGGGATACTTCCAGGTTTCTCAAACCTAGTCGGGGGGAGTCGAGAGGCAGAGGTCGGGTTCGAACCACGGCCTTCCGGGAAAGTAAATTCACGCTCTGACCACTGAGCCATCTCCCCTGGTTTCTTGTCCGTCAGATTCCAACCTCGAAGGAAATGGTTACAGATTCGGTCGTTTCCGATCGTGGGTAACTGAAACCAGGCACTATTTTGCAAAGGACATGTCTGGTTACAGGACTCATCGGTGTCCTTTTTTTCGAGCGCATGCTTTACCTGACTAACTGTATCACCATGAGTAAAGAGTAACCAGCCTTGTTTGTGGGTACTGGTTAACAGCGGAGAGACAACCTTACCTTGTTTATCGTAACCGCGTTCGCACCCAATGATTGTTACTGGGTTGGGATAAGAGTTACTTTTTTGCAAAACCAAAACGAAATTCGAGAAGTGAAGATTCAAACTCCAGATTTGGTCCTTTATCGAATAACGAGCTGTGTTTAGTTGGTAATCTCCGTCTGGATTCCACCCGACCTGTTAATTGAGATAGACTGTCAGATCTGTGGTCGGAACACAATCTGTTTTCTGCCGGTAATAAATTTAGTCATCCGTATCGTCCTTATGGCACCTGGCGCCCCGCTGTATCAACCCAGTCATAGATAAAAATCGGTCACAGTGCTCTTGGCCACAGATGGCGAAGTTGTGTTCGGGGTTGCCGCCGCCACGTGTCCACTTGTGCTTGTCCCTGAACACGGCTCGATATACACAAAATTTCCACAACTTTAGGTGAACGTAAGACCTCTGGACACACTCACATAAATCTGGTCAAGCAGTTCTTTCTGACGCAGCACACTCTAAGTTCCATTTTCTTCGAGCGCCAAAGATCACGAGCCACGTTTGGCTTACTGGGAACCATGGTGGTCTGAACAGGCCTCGAAAACCACTGCAAGCTCTGGAGACGTCATGAACCTCTTCCACCCCACCAGCATCACCGTATATAGGCCAAAAGATTTCAGCGAAGCTATATGTAAAGCAGATGGTAAGTCGATACAACCTACGAGGGCGCCTAAAGCACCGGGGTGAGCACTTCGAAGTCCGGTTTGACTGGCTTTCTGGAGTCTGTACTACCGAATGCACCCACCTTTGCTCCCATGTCTATTGCACCGGATCGCCCCAAAGAATCAGAAGTTAGAAGGGAGATCGCGAACCTTGTTCGAAGCAAAGTATCAGGCCAGTGCTTTAAAGACTGGTGATATTTTGGAACAAGAATGAGCCTCTCCGTCCTCCAAGATCTGGTCTGATGACACGTTTCCTTCGTCCTCGGTTGGACACGTTATCTCTCCGATATTGCAAAAGTGGCTCGGTAACCATTTTCGCAACCACTGACGTATTAGTTTTAATTCAAACGTGCCCAAACTTCTGGCCTCAATCATTCTTCGTAGGCCAACTCATTGGAGTGCTGAACAGAATAGTGGAGAACGAGCTTCTTTCCAACCTCTGTCGGTGTGCTGGCCAAATTTTTATCCACCTGATTTCAAAACGTCGCTACATCTACCAACAATCGACATATATAATAGTGTGACAGTCGACTCGCTCCACAGAATCTCTCTACGGGGCTGTTTGTGTAAGGGGGAAAGATGGTTCAGTGGTTGCAACGTGAATTCACTGACCGGAAGGTCCGTGTTTCGAACCTGGCCTCTGCATCTCGAATTTTGTTGTCTAGGTTTGGGCAACCTGGCAGTATCCCACCCCCCGTGCTTCCTTTGGGAGGTATGGTAGCTAGGCACCGAAAGGGTGTGACGGCTGATTAATTTTTTTACTGCCCAACTGCCGGGTAAGCACATTGCTGTGCCTAAGGCGCCTGGTAAAGCTGATATATATGAACAACGGTCGCCATTATTCCTGGTCACTAATGGTGTGTGACGGGCGCCGACGGCGTCTTTCATAGGACCCTCTTGGATGTTGGTTCTTGTGGAGATGAGGTTCCGGAAACAGGAATTTCGAATATGGTGATCGCAGATGACATTGTTTCACTAGAGGATAACTCTGACTAAGTTCAAAATTTGCTGAATCGTCTTGCAACTGCGATGTACAATTCAATGTGTGTTTACACTCAGGGTGTGAAGTGGCGTTCTAATGCTCAATACCATCGTCTGCTGTCGCCCTGACAGAGGGACACTATCCTAGGAGTGGTAAGTTGCGTCACTCCTGGTAGAGATGTCCGGGATCACTACACCGTACATTACAAGGGCAGTGTTATCATTCGCGAAGTCTCTATGATGGCGAGATGGCCCAAGCGGTTAGAGCGCGAATTTACTGACCGGAAGGTCCGTGGTTCGAACCCGACCTCCGCCTGTCGACTTCCCCTCTCTAGGCTTGGGCAACCTGGCAGTATCCCAGCCTTCGTGTGGCTTGGCAGCTAGGCGCCGCAAGGGTGCCACAGCTGAACGTTTTTTCTGTTTGATGTGAGGCCTTTACTGAAAGGACGTGTGTGTACATCATAGTTGTTCACACAAACAACTTCATACTGTTGGCCTGTTCCGTTCATTGATACGCATAAACTAGCGGTTTTCGTGAGCCGATGTCTACACAGTATTGGTCATATCTCGTGGGAGCGCTATGAAATCAGCAACTGGGTTCACCTAAAAGTCCTAGATCCAGATGGTCCAGTTTCACAGGATGTGATTTCAATTCACCTATTATACTAGTTGCGGCATGTTCTGCGTATGAGTACTCATAGACTACCTCAGTGTCCACAGAGGTTGGGAAAAGGTAAACAGTCGATGACGTTACCGGAGGGGATGAAGGATTCGAATGCGAGGTTTCCTGCGGTGGTTCCACTTTCATATCCCAGTCAAGGACCAGCCAAATGCTTATGGCTGGATACGTTAGGCAACATAACCGAATATATAATCCATTGAAAGGCACGTGTTTCCCATAATCGAAGAATCAAGCAGTCAAGTGCACGCACACCGATGCTGGCATCGTAGAAGAAAACCAAATCCCCTGAGGGCGCCATTTCAGCTCCGGTGCTAAGGTAGGTGTAATCTCTGGGGCTACATCACTTTATTAGATCTAGCTCACAAAGTGCCCGTGGTCCTGTAACTTTGCATGTCACCAGCTGACCCAGAAGCCATCCTCCTTCCTTTTTCCATTAATAGGTCTATCGCGAATTCTATGGAAACTAAACAACCTCCGAGTGTGCCGGAAGAGGTCGACTTCTCAGACTGGAATCCGCCCGCGACGGAAGGCCAGTGGTTTCCTCACCTTGCGCTCACTCTCACCGTGATTGTCTTTTTCCGCCTAATCAGAGCGTTTGGTGTCGTGAATTGGTGTCACAAATGGCTTGTTTTCCTGTCCAATATAGCAACGACAGCTGGACGTGCACGTCGTACCGAACGATTCAAGTTGGCTGCCGAATTGACGGAGTTACGAGCAACTTTAAAAACTATCAAAATGGGGGAGCAGTTTGCCCAATATTCCCGCTGTGAGAGGCGGATAAAGGCGCTGGAACGCCAACTATCTCAAACGCGGCCGGAGACACTAAGCGGTTCAGTAAGTGTCGGGTTTTTTGTCCTAGCTTTATCACCGTGTACCGTGATGTGAAATACAAGCCCTGTTTGCCCGAACAAACGCCACTCACAAGGAGCTGTTTACATTCTCTCTTAAGGGCGTGATGGGATTACTTTGATCTGTGCGAGAGAACAGTAGTAGGCGTACTTAACTTTAGCGGATGATGTAATGAACTATTGATTCTGGTGACAATACTGTAATAGGGTGTAACAGAGTGAACAGTTCGTGGTCACACCATTCCCGTTTGAACAAAATACCTATCCCACAAAACCCCAAAATTGCAACCAAATAGTTGCCCAGTGGGTTTCAACCGTGTGTCACGCTACCTGACTGGTGGGTCAATCGATCGTCACAACCAGGACGGTTACTGGGTCGTCGTTCGATGAGTGGGGAACACCAATCACGTCGCTCAAGTGTGAACACGTTCGCCTGTTCAGACGTGAAAATTCAGATGCGTCCAACGTGCGTTGGTGGAGTAGTGGTTACACGCTCCCCTCGCATGTCAGATGTCCGGGGTTCAGATCCCGGCTAGGTCATTGGATATGCACTGCTGATGAGCTCTAATAAGAGCGAAACTCGAGCCCAGTGCTTCCCTTTAAGATGGACTCACCGGAATAATTACTCCTGAACAGGAGGACAGCCGCTCAAACGGAAGTTGTGTGACTACGAACAATATACCTATCCCGCAAAACCCCAAAATATTTCGGATATGTAACTTTTGCTGTCGACCGTAATTATCATGTGTTTCTTGGCGGTGGGGGCTCCTGGGAGTTGGTACCTGTTAGTGATATCTATTCAGGTGTAGTGCTCCATTCGGTTCAAAATGGTTTTCAGTTCCTTTAACAATTCACTCGTTGGGCTTAGAGATTAAGTTAGGTTTTCACCTTCTTAGCAGTTCATCGACATTGCCTTTTTTTCGGATAATTCAATACTTCAAGGAAACCTAGTGCACGATCTCTTAAAATCTTGTTTGCGTTTTGTAAGGGAATCAACATCTGGTGAACACCTACTGTCGTCTTTGTTGGTCTTTCGGAGGGTATCATCTTTGAGTCGAGTCTCCCGATACCGAAATGAAGGTATCTCAGGTGAACGTACGTTATTGTTGAAACCGTTGTATGGTTTAGTTTGCCATAAGAAGGAAGCACTCCCTCCCCCACCCTACTTGAAGGGCATGCATTTCAAGGAAGTTGAAAAGCGTTTTTATTTTAGGAAGGGTTTGTCCCCCTTAGAAGAGGACACCTCAGTCAATTGTGTCAAGTCCCACAACGGTAATTACTTAGTAGCGATAAAGATTTGTCTGAAAGATATTCAAAGATCCTGTCTCTTCGTCTCGGGGACTGTGCATACGTGATGAGCTCCGGAAAAGAATAGATTACTTCAAGATGCGTCAGCTCTTCACGGATTTCATTGGAACTAGTGGTATTCAAGACGTTGCAATAAGTCTCAGGTTTTATATGGTCACCTACGTCACAGCATTCAAGCTCCTCTGGTCTAGTCTGTTACTAAAACCGAGTCAGCCGTTTGCAGTGTCTGAAGGGCCGTGCTATAGTCTATCAGTTTAAATACAATACTACACCAGTATTCCTGGTCGAGATGGTCCAAATGGTTAGAGCGCGAATTTACTGACCGGAAGGTCTGCGGTTCGAACCCAACCTCTGCCTCTCGGCTTCTCCTGTCTACGCTTGGGTGACCTGGCAGTATCCCAGCCCTCGTGCAACCTTCTGGTGGCATGGCAGTTAGGCTCTGAAAGGGTGCTACGTCTGACTCTATTCCTATCCGCGAACTGCTAATGTGGTGCTTGACTACGATATTCCTATATTATCCTCTGTGAGATATCAGTATAGTGCATCCCCACAAAGGGCGCCCTAGGTCACAACAAGGTTTTGCTTGGGTGAGGACCTTTCGCCTTACATTATTTCTGGTACTCCAGACTTACCTACCACAAAAACAGTGGTCGGCGATCACTTTCAACCCACTTTGTAAGGTAAGATATTTGATTTTGACGGTTTCCGGTGCATCTTCATCAACGTGATCGGCTTATCTAGATCTTGTAATGTGGATTCCTTAAGATGGAGTAAATTTAATGGCAACCTTCTCTCATTTAGGAATTACTGTAAACGGCGATTCAACTAAACTTCTCGTGTATAATTTTCTTTAACTGAATGTGCCACACCAGTCCACCTCGTGTTTCAGTGGGTAAGACATTTGGGATATCGCACTATACTTTCTTGAAGAAACACTACTCATAAGGGCGCTGAAAACTCTTTGGCAATCTACGCTGGGTTTCGCCCATCTTCGGGTTCATCAGGTAGGCAAAAGACCCGAGTTTCCGTCAACCTTATGTTCTACTTGTACACGAAATTGCGCGCAGCTGGCGAATTAAACTCATTTGCAAATTAATCTGGTGTTGTAAGTAGTGTGTTGTCTCAAGAAAACGTACCACCATATCTCGAATATTGTGCCTCGGTGAACTACATCCAGTTGAAGAATGCCACAAACGAGGGATCCATTTGGACTCGCATAAGAACTGCAAAACTGTATATGTACCATGGAAGTGTATTCGAATACTGCATTATCATGACTCCGGTGTCAGCTGTGTTCCCAAATGCTACCGTACATGGTTTGCCTGCAAATTCGACTTCCAGGGTCTTTCTAGTTGTCAACTTTCTATCCTCTAATCGGTTGATCCCCTCCTCCGACCATTTCCCCCATCTTTGTTGAATACTTTGTTTGCAGTTCATTCGGGCTATGGTCATCAACGTACTTCTCTACGTCTTGGAGGGCATTCTTATTGTCTGGCTCATTGCACGGGCTCCTTCCAAAACTATCAGTGAACGAAGTCTAGAGGATGCTGAACTGCGTGATTCCTACTTCCTACCCTTTTTGTACGGTCTCCAGTACGTCCCCTCGAAGATCCTCTCACTTGTTTGGATTTGTTTGTGCCACAGTGTGGCTAGACCGGTCGCTACCCAGCTGCAGTCGCTCATATCCCAGTCAACTTGGTCGGTTACACTGGACAATGGTGCTCTGGGAGAACAGTACCCCGACTCGTTGTAAATACCAAACTCAAACATTTTGACAGAATGTCATACTACATTTGTTGGGTTTTGTACCTCGATGGATGATCCATTTCAATGACATTTCCTGGTTTTGTGCTGTCTCAGTTGTGACATGTTTTTGTGACAATAAATTTCATGTGCTTCACGTCTGGTTATTTAATCCCAAAGAAATTGTCTCGTCTTTCTATAAGCTTTGCCCGGTAAGGTTGGTGGGATCTCGTTTTTCAGTGCAGACTAATGCTACAGATTTTTGGTAGTGTTCTTCCTTACCGAGACGAACCGCGTCACTGATTGTTTTAACTGTAGACACTGCGCCCACTTTTTAACATATGTGCTCCATCTGGTTTAGTTATGCTCACTGTCCAACTTCACGGAGCAGGGAATCGCGTGTTTAGTCAAGCATTGTAATTTACAAGTTGTTGGCGTCAGCATCACTTTCACTCCTGTTCAATAAATCAGTCGGTCTTATACGACAGGATTAACGCGCATTTGTTCTGAGGTTCACAGTTAAACATAGTTTCGTGGTGTGGGTTGTCTAGCGTGGGCAACTGTGATCTTGGGTATTCGTGAAGTTGCCTCATTCTCAGTAACGTCGCGTGACACCGTGTTGCCCTCGTTGCAGACTTGCTGCTTTCAACATTTTCCCCGCACACCCACATGTTTCTTCTGCTACACCCAACTCCTTTAACACTACTACATCTGAAGGACCAGATGCTCTGTATGATTTGCATCGCCATTGGCGGCACCTGTTTCTGTAGTCAGCAACAGCCCCCCATACGTCAGAATTCATTTTCGGGCCTTAGTAGCCTGTATAGTTAGTGGCCTTTGATGCTCAATATCTGAAAAAGGACAACAAGCAACTCGTGTACATACGTCGGATTTTATTTGTCTCGGCGTGTGGCGTCCGTGAGAAACTGGGGTGCATTGCTTGGGCACCGAGTACTGCTTACTCCGTTACCCTGTTTCTACTTTCGGCTGCATTGAGTGCTAGACCATCAAACAAAGTCATCTTCGCTTGGCCGCTTGCCCGCCGTTAGGTGCTCCTGCTCTCGCTCGCCAAGAGTGAATGGTTCATCCCTCTCTGCACCTATATTTTGTCTAAGGTCTGTTGTTCTGAATCTGCTAAGAGCGTTTTCTGACGTTCTGAGCTCTTTTTCAACGGGCTTGAAGTTCTATCATCATTGGTAATATGAAGATTCAGGTAGACTGGCTTTGTATGGCTGCTCTCAGTTTGTCACAGCAACGTGAGGCCATGGAAGTCAGACAGATCACGTTAACATCCGTTGTCAGTGAGGAAGTTCAGTAATTGCCTATCGCTCTTTCCGGAACATGCCTATGTGGCCCTGGTCATCCACCTGCCCGCCTCCATCTTATTTTTGCACGGAATTCACACGCCTTGCTTGACCGCTGAGAATCTCACCGATCGCACTGCCTGACAACGGTTACTAGCTTACCAGATTTCTGCTACTCATTGTTATGGGAGTTAAATCTTCCAGATTATGTGCGATGCTGGAACGCCCGCCTTCAAAACTTGGAACTCTGATGTGACTCCGACCCTGCTTCGAACCTGGAGAAAGATTTACCCTGATCTCAGATAAAGTTCAGTTCGGCTGTCGTCAAGAACGAGGTAAAATCAAACACTATTGTAGGTGGGTCCACGACGCCGAAGAAAAATGGGAGAGAAATTCTGAAAAATCCGCTAGTTTTTTTCGTTTTTTTTTTGCGGAACCACTCGTCGGAAACCTTATCAATCATGCCGCTATGGACCACAATGGCTTGTACCACCTCACAGTGTGTCCCGAAAATCACCGCCCCAAATAGTCACCCATTGTTCGTCTTGTACTGCCGAGTAGGCAAGTAGGTAAACTTTCAGAGCGTCCACCCTCAAATGACATCAAGTTGTGCACAGTTTGTTGACAGTTTGACAGTCCTTCGCATGCATATTTCGATAACGTTTGGCTTTCTCTGTTTCCCAATTGTTTATCTCTTTTTTTGACAAAATCCTGTGTTTAGGCTAGTTTCGAATAAACCCGAGCATGTTCCGACGATAATGTGAGTACTGCTGACAAGTTCTTCAACCTCAACTCAAGTCTGCGTCGGTCGGAAGCTGCCGTCCAGAGTTTAGCTCCTTGATACCCAGTCTAGTGTACTTGGAAGTCTCAGTGTTCGAGACATAACCAGTTATCCGAATGTGTGAAGAACGAGTCAAGTTCTAGGTGTGTTGGGTTTTACTGCATAAGGCTTGTGTAAACTTAGGTTCTACACTTGTATTGTGTGGCGTCGAACTTTATTGTGATTGGCTAAATCTCAAGACCTCGGTAAAACAGGCTATGTTCTCAGTTGAAATCATACCTCTACAAAAAATTTGACCATATTGTTTTTGTTACCAACACCATTCATAATGACTAATCGAAATGTAGCAAGACTGAAGCATTTGGGAAGTAGACTGTGTCCCATAACAAGGGTGCTCGTATTTGACTGCAGTCTCATTGTAGCTGAGCATCGCAGCTTGCGTTGGGTCATGCGGACCCCATCGTGGAAGGCATATAACACCAATAGCACCCAAACTCTTCGTCATTTCTTTAGCGTCCTGACAAGTCATACGTTGTCCTCCCGAGGGCAGAACTTTAGTGTCATGACAAAACGAGTTGATCAGCAGTGGTCTTCCATCATTCTGATGTATCCCATGAGTGAATAGTCGAAGAAAGCTGATCCAGTTGTGTGGACACTTGGACCTGTCATGCTTTTTCACTTCGAAGTCAATGTGTGCACATTGGCTCAGTGACCATATGGGAGCAAAATGATAGAAACTGGAACGGATTTCACAAATGGCCATCCCGTTTGTACTCGAGTTGCGAGTGCTATATTATATGGACTAATGTATCCACCTCAAAATGTTCGTACTCTAGCCGTGAGATTTCATGCATCTGCAATCATAAACCATCAACCTTAATGTCACTGCTTCGGCCAGCGCTGTTCTTCAACACAATTAGCACAACACAGAGGCACATGTTATTCGTGAAATCCTAATCGTTCTCTACTTCCCTCCACGAAGCATTCGGGCAGCTAGTGCTAAAAGATGTCTGTGGTACACCACATTAAACATATATTGGTTAAATATTTTTGGTATGGTTCTATCATCGGGAAACTTAAACTTCCATTTCCCAGTGTCACAAAACATCAAAAACGCAGGACAAAGTGAGTCGAGATCGACCTATTATAGGAAGATTCTGATTCTGGGTTTTAGTTATCTTCATGCGACATTATTTCCTTGTTGTTACCGGAAGCCCGACTAACCAGGTTTTGAGGCATCCTTTGACTTGATTCCAGGCTTGTATACGACTCACTTGATTGCCTTTCAGTATCTTCCTCCCCTTCTGAATACCTGAGGATTTACACCTTCCAGTATCTTCTGTATGTTAGAAAAATTTGTTAGTTAAGCCTGTCTATTGTACCGAATTGGAATAGAGCACGGCATACCTACGAAACGCAGTGCATCAATAACTGGAACTGACCCTCATTAAAAAGCTGGGGTACACTGGATATGTGAAGGAGTTCTACGGAAGCCGAAGTGACTAGTTGTCCAAGTTATATGTTATACAGGCGGGCCGTGAACAGCGTAAACGATAGTACAGAGTTCAACAGCGAGTTCTCCCACTCGTATTTGGTGACTTTTCATCCTTTGATCTCAGTGACGCCAGTAGAGCATATGAGCTTTGGATGATCTATTCACAGATAGGTTTTCATCAAAACAATCATTACTTTTACGTAGGCGAATTCCGACTCATTTATAAGCCTGTCATATGAATCACGTAACATGATTTTCTGACAGAGAATCTCGTTTATCTGTGCTAGACGGTCGGCTAATATTCGTATATCGTGCTGCAATTTATTCTTCTCTTCTTCTTGTTGAATTATTGCTTCCTGTATGCTGTCTCGCTTCCGTCGGAGTCCCTCGATCCCTTTGAAACTGAATCTCATACATTAAATATCTACTTTCTCCCAATTCAGTATTTTGTATATCCAGTATTCTCCCTCTTGACATATCCTGGAACCGGTTCACAAGACCTAAAGGTATTCTCAAGCTCCCTGAATCTGTCTCCTTAGACCGTCTAACGGGCTTTGCTCCACCTGAAAAGGAAAGGTGAAAAAAGGGCTTTAGTACCTGCGTTTAAAAATTCAGCATCAAACGATGCTTTTTTCAACACGATGGGCTACGGGACAGTATACCTAGGTATGTTGCAAACTGCTCTTCAGACACACATCAAATGCTGCTGAGGAAATTCATCCTACTGGCTAAGCCAGTCTAAGTGAAAAGCCTATAGAAGCGCGCACTCTAATCGTGCTCTCGTCATTTTTGCCAGTAAAACGTTTACGAGCATGAACCCTTTCACACGGGAAAGTACCTATTTGGTCCGCACGAAAACATTCGTAGTCCAGGATGAAAGCTGAACACGGGCCCAGCGGGGCTTGACAGTGGCCCATCGGACGTGCCCATTTATCACCGTGTTAACATTCGTGTAATAATAAAGCTAACTTTGTCGCTTGGCAGTCCGCCAGTGTTATGTGCAAAAGTCTGCGAATCACCCCCAGAACAAATAGTTTGAAATTCAGTGGATAGTTGCGAGGAATCAGTTCCTAGAACCTAGACCCTTTCTGGCATGGCATTTCGTAGTCTCTTGTTATCCGTCTTCATTATTCATGAATGTGCTTGTCTGTTTCATCACTTCAATGACGAACTTCGATACCTATACAGAGGAGCGTACTCCTGCGCCCGTTATTTCGTGGCGTGGATATTTGGTTGAGGTCTGTTGGCATTAGAACTCAGGACCGCCTACACGAATGGAAGCTGCAATTGTGGGAAAGGTCATCTACGTAAGGGGAAAAAGAAATGACTCACGGATGCTGCAGTGGGGAACTCCACCGCAAACAGCTGATGATGAAAGCTGAGGCGCTCAAAACTGCCTAGGTTATTCTGCGATAATTTGACTTGGACTTCTGTCTTGACTACTGCATACCCCAAGCACGTGGAACATTTGGGTGTTTACAACCGGACCAGACATTCTATGAATGTGAGAACGATAGCAATCGTTGTGGGCCCATCACATGTATCTCAGGTGTGGATGTAAAAGAGCTTAATTTACGTTCTAAAACCGTTTGGAATAAATTACGTTTCGGAAAGGTTGTGGCTGTCGGTGAAAGGTGGTCTAAGGTGACTCGTTTCAAAAAGTGTCCTCATGTCTTGCAGAAAATGCTATTTGAACCGATATGTGCAGCTAGTTAACGGAAAGTTCACGTATTGACCTCTTTCCGAACAAGGAACACTATTTACTGAGCGATCGATGGTCAAGCCGCTGCGCCGAGAGAATCTGTAGTGTACTCCGTCCCACCACAACGCGCTGGACAGTCATATACGGAAAGTCGCGAACTATAGTGAGCGAACTAGCCGGAAGGCAATGTCTGTAATGTAAAATCCAAACGTTTAAACCACAGTCGCAGATTGAAGAGTGATTCTTGGGTTGAAATAAGCCAGGAGTTTCAGTCTTATATGAACCAACGATGCCGCAGACTAATCTTCAGGGAATCCAAAGTAACTCATGTAACAAAAATCTGGTATATGATACACCCTACGGGGTGAGATAACTCATTGAGTAGAGCGCGAATTTACTGACCGCTAGGTCTGTGGTTTAAACCCGACCTCTGCCTTTCGACTTCCTCTGTCTAGGCTTGAGCGATCTGGCAGTATCTCAGCCCTCGTTCTTCCTTCTGGTGACATGGCAACTAGGCACCGAAAGGGCGCTGAAACCGAACGATTTTTCTACATCCTAACCGATGGAACACCAAACAAATCACTCTCAGCATTACCTAAATTATGTCTGTACTGGCAGCGCAAACAACTTAAACAATTACGAAAGCAGCTACTTTCGATCCACTAACGCGGGATGAAATTCATATTGCGGAGACTAGGCCATGTGAGGCAAATATAATCTGAAGAAATCGCTTTACGCCAGCTTAATTGTGAATCTTGAACTCCGGGGACGGCCATAGTCCAGCTAATACAGCAGCCTTCCGGTAAGTTTTGAAGAACTAGTCTTTATATTATGGGAAGCTATGGCGTTAAGTAGAGTGGCCTAACCTACTGCAGTTTGAACAATACTGAAGGGTTGCGAGACGACTTCACCTGAACACTAGAACGCAAGCACAGCGTTCGAAACGGTCGCACGAGTTTCAGAATAACCATAGCCAACCTGATCTGTGCAGCTTGCGGAAGCGCAGGTTCAAGTAGATTTGGACTCGCAAGTCGTCAGCACCCAGATGACTTTCCCCTTATTCTAGTCCACACATGCCGAAGGAAAGTTGAATACGATTTATACTCACTACCTTCCCATCTCTACTGTCATGACAAGCGAACACAGTAACAGTTGCCCTCCAACTAATAATCTGCTATAAAACTCTCCATTTCCATCCAAATTGCATTGTAACTCTCTTTCCCCTGAGATAATACTTGCAGTGAGTTAACGTCCGCCGAAATTTGGAAGAATTGATGGATAACGCCAGTGTTTGGTACAAAAGAAGGCATGTTGTTACCCATTGTTATGCCACCCTGTTTAGACCGTTGATCGTCTTTAACAGACCTCTACATGTAGGATCCTCGTGCATCCCACGTGCACCACGTTGCCCCAACCAATCTCTTGGAACTTACCTGCTGTGCGCGGGTGCATTATCGATCACACGCTGTTGACCGCCAAGTCCTTTTGGATGCCAGCGAATCATATATTTTAGCCTCAGCATACTATTTCCCTTACCTCCAGAACACGGAAATTTTGAACCAAATTAGGAAGCGCCTAAGAATAATTCGAAAACTCCTGCCCATGTTTCCAGTATTTTTAAATGTTAGAAGAAGTACGTCTTAGGTCTTGTATCATGGCATTTGATCTTCCGACAGCCGGTGAGTATAAGAAGCCGAAGTTTTTGACGCCATTTTCCACCTTGTCCTTCGGTGCACAGATTAAGCTGAGCCTGGAAAACCACTGTAAGGTGAAAGTCCCAAAATGTGAATTTGAAGGAGTAACCATTTCAGATGGCGAACAACTGAAATATGGAATCTGGTATGTGGATTCACTGAAGTAGATGCAGCTAAAACACCATCTGGGCAGCTTTGAGTTTCGTGTTCAGGCACTGTCCAACTGTTGATGTCAAGTTTGTTGTCCTTGAAACTTGAGAATACCTCTTATCCATTCTGATGCGTACACGGAGAAACGAGAAACGGAAGAGAACTTCTGGGGGCATGGTACTCCATGGCGTATTCTATCAACTGGCGCACCTCTACGTTCCAAGAACCAACATGTCAACTGGGATACTCAAGGAACTGCTTGGAGTCAGATCGCAAGGATCACNTCCAAGAACCAACATGTCAACTGGGATACTCAAGGAACTGCTTGGAGTCAGATCGACAAGGATCACAACCCGAAACTCGGAAGAGCCAGGGACAAAGGTCACTCCGGCATTCACAAAAGTACGGTGACGGAGAATGCCAAGCTCACAGGTCACGTAGGTATCGGTTAATGAGGACACAGGATAACAGAGAAACCAAACAAACACCCGACCTAACAACTAACTGTAATCGGAGGTCAGCCGCAGCCAGGAACACGACTTCATTATAGAGCGTGTGGTGCTCAGTAACGGACAACATACGTGATGATTTTAAAAAATCTACATACTTCACCGGTAAGTCGTGTTGCATAACGCTCCGAAAAATCGAAATACACCAGGCTGAAAGCGATTTAAGACAAACCGCGGCTTGCTCGTCATGACAACTGTTTCTGACCTAACCTTGGGTTAGGCAATTGCTTCGACGAAGGCCATTGAGCACACGGACTCCTTGCAAATCTGCTGACTTTTGGTATAGGGTGTCACGGCAAGTGCATAACGCCCGTCCAGTATGTTACCTGGGAGAAGGAGCTCCTCTTTAGCAAAGACAAATGACCCTAGCAGCACACGCAGTCCAAAATAACCGAGTTTTCCGGTTTTACGACGGTTACGTAACCGCCAAATAACCACCTTTTATGGTTGGCAAATGGTTATTTGCACCAAGATAACCGTCAATTAACCGAGTTTTCCGGTTATTGCTCGGTTTACTAACTGTCAAAAAACCGTCTTTGCCGGTTATTGCTCGGTTAAATAATCGACAAATAACTGTTTGCCGGTTATTGCTCAGTTAAATAACCGTCAATTAGCCGTGTTTCCGGTTATTTGCTCGGTTAAATAACTGTCAGATAACCGTGTTTACCCTGCTTTCCGGTTATTGAACGGTTAAATAACCGTTTTCTAGTGGTTGGACGTCATTAGACTACTTTCAACGGTAAATAATGATAAAATCACCATGTTACCGTAAATCGCTTTTATCAGACCTATTTTACCGCGTTATTACGGCTTAACACCGTATACGTAACTACGCATCTACATTACGACCTACACTGGTGAATACACTGGTAACCATATCGTCCTACCCGATATAGAAAATGGGTCCTAGGAACGGACTCTGTACATCAAACTTCTGGCCACTAATGGAGATGGTTCAATAACCGCGTTGAAACGGCGTTATCATTGACCGTTTAAGCAGAGCACTTAGAGAACTAAAAACAAGGATAAAATACATATATTGGATGTACAAAAGTAAATGTTCCACAATTGAACCGAAACAGTCCGAAGGCAAATCCGGTGTGATAATCCCGGCTTCTTGGTCCAATGCAGACGTCTGAAACAGTGACAAAATATACGCATAAAAATTCGATGTGTCGATAAACTTGCCCAAGTGCACAGTTTAAACTCACTGTCAACTGATGGCACAGTTACCCTCAATCCATGGACAACTGAGGACTGCACACTGTCATAGGCCCCGTTCATAGAGCTTGCCTAATCCTAGAGCGCCGTATAGAATTACAAAGACATTACGGTATACTGTAATAATGGGAAGACTACAAATAAGTCATTAAATGGAAGCATGGCGCGCTTGCATTGCACAAAAGTGAGGGAACAGCTACCTACAGCTGTAGACAATTTGTTAACCAAAAATATTTCGCAAAAGAGAATTAAGGGGATGGGTGAACAGTGGTAAAACGGGCAGAATAAATGGAACATACGTTACTATGCTGTCGGCCGTGTCGGGATGTTCCACCCCTGTCACAATGCATGGAAATTCATCTACCAATACGTAATCCGGTGGACTGGCAGATGAGGCTACTTTACCAAAGTAAAAGGAACGCTCTTTGTTCATTGACAAATGTTTCAAAGGGAAGCCCACATCGCAATCGGCATGGTTGCCTGGGGCGTTTATAAATCTGCCGAAGGGGATGTGGGACACACGGATATAAATGAATCTATAAAATATTGATAGCGTTCATTAGGACGAAGGCTCTTAAACACACCCAGATTAATGTAAACAGCAGTCGACGAAAGTGTCGCTTTCTAGCACGTTTCATTTTGCGGTTAAGTGTCCACCTGGAAATGAGCAAACCACGTTTGGAAGGCTACAGTTATCATACATGTATCAGCAGCCATGACTTACCATTCATACGGATAGAAATTCGCAAACACGCGAAGACATCAAGAGCGTGGCTCAGCGACGATCCACTAATGGGCTTGGCGCCTACGGCCATTTACTTAAACAGTGATACAGATAAACAAGAGAATGTCAGGACGGTTTTCTGGAAATCAATTGGAATAAGGCATTTTTGTTTTTATGCCAACACTTTATATGATAAGAAACGCTTATGTGAATAAGTGTGGCAACAACACTTCATGTTGATTGGGTGATAGCTACACGGTTGAATAACCATCAAATAACCGAATTTAACCGACCTAAAATCGACTAATAACCGAGTTATGCTAGGGGAATTATTCACAGTTAAACGTGCCGACCAGTATCTGGCGATTCACGGACTGATGCACAAGATCAAAGCTTTCGCCCAAGTTTGCGGGGTTTTTTCTTGTCTTTCACCTGAAAAGTACAAGTGAAAAGGTGTGTAAAACTGCTGTTTTTTGTTCTCAGCGGGGGCAGAATGCTTACCTTTGCGAGGACTCGCATAAATAGGTGTCTAGAACTGGGTCTTAGAAGGAGCGTAGACAACCGTCGCATGAAGGTTTTTCCACGCAGCTACTCCCCGAAATGAGAAAAACTTTTACCCAATGCATGCGTGCCCCCTGAGCTTAAAAATCTTTTCACCATGTTCCCGCCATGTGTTTGCTGGGTCAGGGGTGAAAACTTGTTGGCCAGGCTTCGTTCAAACGGGGCGTAAGAGCTCGGCCCTCTCTGAGGCAACGATGCTCCAGGGAAAAGAGGTCAAGCACCGCGAAATGCTTTTCGCAGTCCACGTCTTCGTAGCGGCTCGCTAAACACGCTCAATGAGGGTGACGTCTTTCGTGCGTCCTGAGTAGACAACTTGGTTTGCGTTTTCAAAGAGCGGTCTGACGTACAGTATATGGAATTCCGTGCGAGTAATACGGGAGAAGGTGCGCCGAACCACCTGTAAAACGGCGAATGCTTTTGGGCCGATTTCTCATGGTGCAGCGAGAAGGACAAGTTTGAAGACAGGCAGACACACAAAGACTTTTGGGCTTTTATCCTCATGACGTCTTCTGGTCCTAACTTACCACGCTCGACAAAAGCATCTGCTGCGTCTCCTCCAAATGACATATGGATGTACTTTTCGCCATTCAGTGGAAGGTGCCAGTCCAACGACCACTGCTTTGCAGCGCCTACATCCATTGGAAATTCAGGATTTCAGGTCGTCCGCAAAAAGTATACATGAATTTGCAGGAAGACCTGGAAGGTCGTTGACGTATATCAGAAAAAGCAGTGATCCCAAAATGGAGCCCCGAGGAAATAATTGAGACCGTCGCTGGAGAATGTAAGGTAGAGTCTACATTCGCTCAGAATGTTCTGTCCGATAGGAAAGTCTAAATCCAATGTAGAATTCTTCGTTGAATCCCGTGGGACTAGAGTTTTCGGAGCGGCGGAACGTGTGAGGCTCGAAGAATATTGCATCCGGTATGAATCCCTCGTCCTTGTCTTGCGCTAAGCTGCCCATATATATGAGCGTGTTCGTCAAACAAGAACTGTATGGGAGAAATCCATGTTGAGCTGGAGATATCAGGTTGTTGCAAATAAGGTGATCTAGGATAGCTCGCTCCAGAATGCGCTCCATCACCTTACACGGCACGCTAGTGAGGCTTATAGACCTGTAGCTGCCAGCCGACAGTCGGTCACCAGTTTTGTAGATTGGTGTGACAATCGCTTCTTTCCAAGCGGAAGGAATGCGGCTTTCGTCAAGCGACTGACGAAACACCAAGTGTAAATGATTAACCAGTGTGGAGGACGTTTCCTTCAAGATCCTGGAATGAACCTCGTCGGTCCCCAACGCGCAGAATGGGTTGATATTGTTAGGAGTTTACGAATGTCCTACACCGTGGAGATCAATTCGGTTAGATGCCTTCGAAGTTACGCCTTGGCAAGATTGGATGTTACGAGGACACGGGGTGAATACTAATCTGCATAGTATTTGCTGTAAACCTCAGATACCATTGTTGGATCACCATTTCTGTCCCTCAAGGAGAATGCGGATGGCTTGTCTCTGCGGTATTGTCTCACGTTTTTTGAACAGCATATTTCTGTTTTCTTCGAGCGAAGCCCAGAACGGTGGCTTGATTTCGTGCGATCCATTGGCAGATTTTTTATTTGAAGCGGTTGCGCATCTTACGAAATAACAGCTCATCTGTGTCTCTTATAGTAGTCTTTTCGGAAAATATTCGACACCTCTTTTTCTCCCCCTGAAGCTGGTCCCAGTTTTACTTGATCAAGAAAACTGCGCATCCCTGTGACGTCACTACGGCAGAAGCTTTGAATCCACGCTTCAAGTTCGGAATTCGTTGCCTAGTAGAAGATTAAATCAATAATCAACACATAGCTCTTACTTTGTCCCGATAGAGTGGTAACGATGACCTGATCGACTAAGTGTATTTGGTTGGTGATGACCAAACCACGAGGTATTTTACTCGGTCATCGTGGTATCTGGTGAGAGCCACGACATGTGTCCATCGCTCTGTTGAACGACTTTGGTCAACGCTGCTACAAAGAGTCCACTTGATCCAACACGCTAGAGCTCTGCCTAGGAGGCGTTTGGAGCGCTGTGGTAACCTATCAGCAAGAGGTGGGTGAAGTCGTGGCTGCCCAATGGTTCGTATTAGAAAATGGCAATCTGGCAGAGGACACAAGAGGTAAAAGTGAATTACACCAAGAAAGTAAACCACATCAAAGACTACGACGTACTTGAATTCTATCACATCGTAGGCTAAAACGTCTGTGTTCACTGCGTTCCCCCTATCTTCATGTTTAAGTGAGCCATCCTTCAGTGTAAGAGAATGCGCCGAATTGAAAATCCGCATCCACTGAAGTTGAACCTTAGACACAACCCAAATTTCTCTGAAGAAAAGAAATATCTGCATCAGGTTTCAGAATTTTAGAATAATTGTTTGAAGCCTGGAAACCTGTGCAGATGGTCTCGATTTGTTAACCTGTCTTCAAACGTGCCTGCGGTATATTCTGAGCACGGAATTCTTATTTTTGTTGGCTGCAAATGCTCAGCACGTGAAGGAGCTGGTTGACTTTTGCAAAAGTTTTTGTCTCCATACTCTTTCCTTGCATTGCGTTTGAAAATGCTTTTAGTTTGTACATGAGCAATGAAGACGTCATTTTATCCCAAGCAAACTGGAAATGAGAGGCCATTTGTTGCCTTTGTATGAAAAATTAATCTCTTGTTGCAAGTCGTCCAATGAAATAAACAAAAGACCAAGAATCTCGCCGCAGTTTGTGAGGGTGGTGAATTTTTCAGACGGCTATACTGGTTGCGCTACGATTCCCCACCTTTGGCTGTATAACGGCTCCATGTTGGTGACTGCTTCCCACTTGGAGCACAACTAACAACGTGACATGTAATTTGCCAGGCCTCCTTTTGCCCGACGCCTGAAAATCGATAAATTAAAGTAGCGCAGCACGCCATTGATATACGGGTATCAGTCATAGGAGGCGCGGTAATACGGTGAAAATTAATTCAGGAAAGTGCTGACCAGTCACTGAATACCACGTCAAGTGAGGTGATTCATTGTAAAATAGACCCCCGTTTACGCTTTCTTGATTGAGAAGCTACCACCTGGTCGATCCTGGTGAAACCTTGCGAATAAAGGCTTGTAGTGTTGGTCGAATATTGCTGACATTATTTCGGTCGCCAGTGATTTTCTTACCCGCAGCAAGTAACTCTATTTCGACTTTTACCAGACGTCGGATAGTTGAAAGCATCCACAGTTTTGGATAGGTTCCTTTAAGGCACATGATATTTTCTGTGTAAGTACTAGCTATACACACTGTTTGTTACGGATGGCATAGGGATAAGACGGTCGGCATCCTAGGTCTTGATCAAAATCGAACATTTTGCGCCTTTGCGTAAGCTGCTCCGCTTGCTCAATTATACGAGTGAGGTGCACTCTGTTGAGACATTCGTTGTGGATTAGATGGCCCCGCATATGCTGCTGTCAAGAATGTGTTCGGCTGGTTCATAATTCTAAACGCATTTCACCCTTGAAATGCACATCCGTCGCATTACTACTGTAGCAAACTTCTTCCAACCACAGTACACACATTCCACAGCGAGGCCCGCTCTGATTAACGGACGCTATTCATGTAAATTTTGCCACGTCGCCCGCCGACACACAGTCTATGATTTTCGCCTAACTGACCGCATACTGCCTGTACATAACTCTCGTGCACTTCGCGGGTTTGTTCGCTTTGGAAACCTGTCTAATAACCGTCTTTAGAACGCAAAAGGGTGGGTTAAAAGACATGTAGACAACGTGTCATCCGAATCTCTTAGCACAGCGAGTGGCTCATTTACGGGTGTGAGTTATGCCCCACTTATTACGACAGAAAATTCGGAAGTGACAGCTATGTTACTCTCGTGTTTTATCGCGTGACGACATATGTTGCAAACAACGTTTGCAGTGATATTGACACAAGCACGCCAAGACTGATGTGCCATCAGGCTAGTCATTGAAAGGTGAGGAACGCCTTGATAATGGCAGTTGGTCTATGACAAAACCATCCGAATGTTTTAAGACGGATAACTAGCATGCACTACCTGTCAGTTCACCTATCTGTCCTGCGTACGCTTTTTATGTTTGGAGGTCACTCGTTTTTGTGCCATGAGTCAAATCCTCGCTGGAGCGTTGCATCAGGCGTTTTTCAGTTCATAAATTTCAGTTAGCATAACGCAATCTACCAGAACAAGGTATATCTCTGTCCTTGTTTAACAACCCACAGCGGTCACAAGCAGAAGGATTGGACAAGCATCTCCGACGGTTAGTGGTCAAATTGCAGGTTCTGGGCACATGAAAGGTCACAACATTCGTAAAGCGTCTAATTGTACAAACACAGCCGATGTTACGTCATCAGTCGAAACAGTCAGTTTTGGTGGACGACCGTCTCCAGTCCAGATAGCTTTCCAAATTAACGGAAAATGAACCCTCAGGTCTCCCTAGCCCGTTATTTTTCTTGCTGNAATAGCTTTCCAAATTAACGGAAAATGAACCCTCAGGTCTCCCTAGCCCGTTATTTTTCCTGCTGACCACCTATGCCCACAAGACCGACTGAAATATTTTGGTCATTGATGCGTTGACGTGACTTCCTGGCCCCATGGAGAAGATCTGCAAGCGCGCCCCACCGATGTGTCCACTTCAGTACTGAAAGTATTTTCTTTGAGTATCGGTGCCTTTGCAACCGCAGCTTTTATTCAACAAGCGTTGGTAATAGAGAACTGCCACGGTGTTGACCTCGACCGATGCATGGAAGCCCATGCGCACCTGTCCCGTAAGGTTGCTACAGTCTAACGATTCCACTCACATTCGCAGCAGATAAAGACTCTGTCCTGGAACCCAATCACAAGCACGAACACATTTGACTCTCGAGATGAATACAACTTCGTCTAATTGAAGGCCTCACAAAATTCTCATAGCCACACCCGTCTGTGCTGTTTAAATGGCGTGGTAATCGATCATGTCTGCTGCAATGACCCTGCAATCTTTACTGGTCGGAACTGCATTCTGCAAGGTCCGAGCATTCCAACCATGCTAGCGGACAGCAGCAAGAAAAATGACATTAAATAATAATACTAATATATCCAATGGCCGTGCCGGGGTTTGAACTCCGGACACCTGACATGCGAAGCAAACGTGTCACCACTATTCCACCAGCGCACGTTGGACGAATCTAAATTCTCACCTCAGGCGGAATAGTGGTAACACTTTCGCTTCGCATGTCAGGTGTGCGGAGTTCAAACCCCGGCACGGCCATTGGATATGCACTGCTGATGAGCTACAACAAGAGCAAAACTCGAGTCCAGTTCTTCCCCCCCCCTTTGGTGTGGATTCACATGAATAATTGCGCCAGGACAGGAGGACGACTGTTCAAAAACGAGTGATGTGAAACTGAACAATACACCTCCCGTAAAAACCATCAAATACTAATATACGTATATGCCGTCATTCAGAGGATTAATATGGTATCATAGGTTTCAAATCACAACCGTAAAGCAAGAACGATGGAAGGATTGCTTATATTTAGTTTTAAATTTGCCGGAGTATATTATTGCTATACTGAACCTGGACATCGTACCATCGGTGTAGCCTCTAACCCTTATTGTCGATGACGCTAATAATCGAGCACGTAATAAGGTACGCTTGAAACTTTATAACAGTGAAGCATTTCTACGCTTTCAAAAGAGATATACATGACTTTTATTTAGGAATCTTTGCCAAATGAAGGCGGCTCGCAAATAATGAGGACCGGAATGACCTCGCATCACGTTTGTGCTGGTAACTAGCGAAAATACGTAGATATGCAAAGATGGCTTCATCATTATCTGGCGCTGGCGCACCAGAGATTTGACGGGTGCATTTATGAGCACGAAGAGCTATGTCAGCGGCCTTATACCTCCAGCATACATATCTGAGGCCCCATATTGAGCGGTGCGCACAGGTATGGCCCACAAAGTGGAAGCCAGCGGCGAAAGTGGGTTACAACGCATATATTTATGGCAACGTGTGCAATCGCTAGTCAAATTTTCTGGCAATTCGGTGTCCATTTCTGACGAAACAGATCTAAGTATTGTGGTGCTGTCGACTGAGGGCGTTCCCACGCGGAACTGCAGCATCTCGGACAATATTATTGGAAGCTCCTCCATTGTATTCTCCATGTTTGTGCATGCCTTGGGGTGAGCATCTTTTGGAGCTGCATACTTACATCAGTCATACCCAATGAATAAGGTAAGCTCCATTTATTTGTATTTGACGCGAAGCTTTTTATCAATAAGAGTGTTTTGCCAAAAGTCTGCTAACCAGTTCATCTTATTTGCTGCGTTGGAAAGGTATAACGAATTCAGGCGTTTTTCAGGTGCCCAATTAGTTAAAATTTACAAAGGAAAATATATAACAGTTGTAACAGTCGAGCGGTATCTTCGAGTGACG